GCAATGAAATTTCTTTCAATATAATCGGCATATTCAGCATAACTGAACATGCATGAAAATGTATATCAATGCAAAACTATCTCACCTCCAGTACTTTAAAGTTCATCAAAACTCTTAAAACATCAGATCGTGCAAATACACAGCAGTCCATTCAGTACATGCAGACAAAAAAACCTAACTCTTGACATGGAGACAATGTTATTATTATAAAAGAGTAGAAGATGTGATTTATATCTGAGAAGGCAGGGTTTTCTGAATTGAGATGTTGTCGCAAAAAATAACTATGTTGATTATTCCTCAAAGTTAAAGACACCATAAGGCCAAATATGAATGTACACTAGAAGAGTACAAATACATACACGACTGACTGAAATCAATACCTAATTTTATGCCATAATACATTCTAAGTAGTCTGTTGCCCTTTAGGTGGTTTTTGTTTGAAAAGGTGATTGAAGCTTTGGTGGCCAAACAGATTTATCACAGAAATCTGCAACAACTTGAGCACTATGCAAGAAAAGATTGTTTCATGGAAAATGCAAAAGAGTTTGACTCCATGATAAGTTTTTACCATGGCCTAGGGATGATAATCAAGCACCGCAGTACAGTTGTACTGAAGGCTCAATGGCTGATTGATCTGTTCAAACAGCTGATAACCATACCACCTTTCAATAAACAGGTAGAAAATAAATTTTATTATAGAAAAGCAAGCTTACTTGGAAAATGTTGTTCAATATTTTCGAACAACAGGAAACTAAGCATGATGTTGTTTCGAAGAAAGAAGTAACTAATGCAAAAACTTTGAACATGTGTCTTTTTATTGTTTATTGTTGTAATCATATGATTTGTTGACCCCATACTATTTCACCTACTTTTTGCAGCTTGTCAGGTCATATAGTGATTTAGCCTTTTTATTTACATTTAGAGACTTGCATTAACTTGCTACTGCTCACAGTAATTGTATTCATAACATTGAATAGCTATTTTTGCGTGTGGTAGTGGGCGTATTCACCTCTGAACAACCCAAGATACAAATTTTGCCGGGTTTAATATTTGACCATTTCATTACATTCATGGATATAAACTGTTTTCACTTCTTCTACATATATGTTGGAAACGTTCAAAAGGAACATTACGTAGCCTTCCCTTATCCAGAATTGCTGAATTTTTTTCACATACATTTTGTAGAATCCCCTGAATACTAAGTACTGGCAAGAACTCGAAGGAAGTGGCATCCTCAGCATGGAACATGTTGATCATGTGTTCTCCAGCTTTATTGGCCAAGGAATCATCAAAGAAGACATCTTAGACATGATGGAGCGATTTGGTTTGATTGCTAAGTTCTCAGTTTCCCCAACTGACGTAAAGTACTTTGTACCAGCTC